ATATATTATGTGATGTTGGAAGCAGAAATATTATGAATGTGACTCCATGGGTAAATAAAAGAGAGAGAAAGAAATCATTTTTTGGCTAGTGAGTCTTGCATTAAGACTTTTTATTACACCATATTTCTCTGTAATTTGCTGTTCATCTCTCTATTGAATTAATTTGTTCATATCTACCATTCCAGCTTTCCGCTCACACATTAGAAAACGTTTCTCTGTACAAAGGGAAGAGTAGATTCTTCCATTAAGAAAATAAGCACAGTTCTTATTTTCTGTTCCATCTCCAAAAAGCTCAAACCTGTAAATAGAAAATTAGAATGAATATATTTGAAAATCAAATAATTTTCAAGGTAAGTCAACAAACTTATGTGTAGAAATTTGTAGCAGAAAATGGAAGCAATGAGGAGCAAAGATTAAGCAAAATACACACTACTGGAAATATTACCACATGCTTAGGACCCTAAGATATGCACTTAAAAGAATCTCAATAGCATTTATTAAGCAATAAGACTAAGTAGCAAATAAACTCTAGGATCAGTAGTAATCAGAAGTAAGAGATGGATGTGGCTCTTAAATGATGAATGAAGTTTTTATCGAGATCAGGCTTCAATTTTGCCTGAAAAAGAGTAATATTTAAAAATGAATTGGTTAAATATTTATAAACATTTTTAACATTTTTGCTGTAGGGTAGTATAAGATTGCATTTATAGTGTAATTGGATGCTACTTTGTCTACATTTCTTACTATATTGTTTACTGTAAAAGGTCAAGATCTATATGTGTATTTTGTTAAGGGCTCTTGAGTCAAGTAATGACTCAGCAACCCTAGGAAAAAAAGACCTGAACCCTGTTCTATAACTATCTATGAATTCATAGAGTTTCTAGAGGCATGTTGTTTAGGAAGTGGATGCCACTCCTACTTCTAAGATTGTCTCAATCTGGAAGCTTCACCAAACACTGTCCATGGTGGGTAACCGTTCACACTATTGTGACACAGCATTCAGCATCAAAGCAACTCTGAGTTAGTCAGTACAGCAAATTGACAGACCAGTACTCTACCATTAGAAGAATATGCATCCCAAATAAAATTAGCACCAATTGTCTTTTAAATACCAGAGCTGTCCACCAGGTCCTGGATTGACTCTAAACAAAAGGCTTCCAGCTCACAGCTAACTGTTAGCTAAACTAGGCAAATCAAATCAGTTCACACCAAATTTTGAATGAAAATAACACCTACCCTCACAGAAACAAGTGAACCCACCTTCCAGAATCTAACCGCTTCACACATAAGCCTCCAAGCATATTAATTTATTTTTCAGTATCTGTGGGATACTTCCTAGGGGTAAACAAAGAGAGGGTCTTCCTTTTGGTGAGCTTATATTATAGTTACTTTTGTTGGTACATGCCTTTGAGTTGAGTACAACAGATACTGACTCTATGAGCAACAGATCTAAGCCATATCCTATACTGTACCATATTTATAATCTCTAATATAATTAATCCCATTGAATTATAGTGTGGTGTGTGATGTTGATAAGAACTAAACATATAAACAGATAAAATAAAATCAGGGACTTTTCAAGACTGATAAAGAAGCCACAACATGAAAGGATAGATCAACATTGGAGTTACTAAACCAAACCTCAAAACCCTTAAATCCAACTCATTATTAATAAGTGGAAGAAAACTCTTTAAGTCAGAATAGAACAGAACTGCCTCTTAGGGTTTTCAAATCTATAATCTTTATGGAAACAGAATGCAACATCTTTCTCTTCTAGAGTGACTTATGGGCCAAACTCTTGGTTAGCTACAAAATAATTAAAATGGCCTCACCAGAATTCCTTGAGTGGCTACCAGGAAGGTTAATTTAGAATAATTAGCACTGTACTCACTAAGGACATGATGGTTATTTAAACAGAGGCTGAGGGACAAAGGGAGCTGTTATGGAGTTCTGTAGGCAAAGAACCCTAAAATAATAAAGCAAGACTAAATTGTTGAAAAATAGAAGGAAGTTCGATTGTTTATAATATTGTCAATGAGGTAATAAGTGATGCTGTCGTTGTCTGTGCTTTCAAGTTGGCCAAAACTCATAGTAACCCTATAAACAGTACATTAGAACCTTGCCATAACCTAAACTATCCTCAGAATTTTTGTGACATCAAGTTTATTGCTACAGTCAATCCATTTTGTTAAGGGTCTTCTCTTTCACTGATCCACTATCTTTCTCAGCAAGACACCTCTTCACAAGAATTAGACTTCCCTGACAACATGCTCAAAGTATGTGAGACAAAGTTTTGCCATCCTTGTGTCTAAAGAGCACTGTGGCAGCACTTCCTTCAAGACAGGTTGGTGTTTGTTTTTTTTTTTGTTTGTGTTTTTTTTTAATATTGTTATTTTGTCAGTCCCTAGGATACAACATTACAATATAAAGGCATCAATTTTCTGTCACCCTTACTCATTGTTCAACTATCAGATGCATTGTTGTGGTTGTTGTGTATTGTAGAGTCAGAATCAATTCATAGCTGAAGTGTGTTTTCAAAGGCAGTTAATTGCACAGGAGATTGCTCATCCTTCTCCTGTAGAGCAGCTGCATAGGAAACAATTAAAAAGAATATGGCTTAGACCAGACACATTTAGTCTTTAAATTGCCATCTTTGTCCTTTAGTTCATTGGAAAGGTCCTTGACAACATATTTCCAAGTGTAACATGTCAAGGACTGCAGCCTGCATTATGGATTGAGGCTCAATGTCAAGAAGACAAAGATTCTCACCACTGAACCAATTGGCAGCATCAGCATGGATGGTGAAGAGATTGAGATTGTACACAGCTTTCGTTTGCTTGGCTCCATAGTCAACAGTCTTGGCACCAGCAGCCAGAAAATTAAAAGGCGCATTGCCATGGGAAAGTCTGCTGTTAGGGACCTCTCCAAAGTGCTGAAGAGCAATGGTATCTCTTTGGAGACTAAGGTGCATCTAATACAGGCCATGGTCTTCGCAATCACCTGTTATGCATCAGAGAGTTGGACAATGACCTAGGAGGACAGAAGGAGAAGTGATGCCTTTGAGCTGTGGTGCTGGAGAAGAGTACTGAGAATACCATGGACTGCTAGGAAAACAAACAGATTTGTCCTGGAGAGGGTTAAACCGGGTGGCTCCTTGGAGGCAAGGATTCTGAGGCTCCGTCTAACATACTTTGGACATGTTGTGAGGAGAGACCGGTCCTTGGAGAGGGACATCATGCCTGGGAGGGTGGAGGGACAGCGCAGGAGAGGAACGCCCTCTATGAGGTGGATTGATTCAGCAACTGGGATAATTGGGTTGAGAGTGTCAGAGACAGTGCGATTGGCACAGGACAGAGCGGAGTTTAGGGCTGTTGTACATAGGGTCGCTATGAGTCGCAGGCGACTCGACGGCACATAACAAGAAAACAACAACAACATGTCTTTTGATTTTTTGATCGCTGCTGCCATGGATGTTGATCCAAGTAAGGTGAAATTGTTGACAACTTTAACCTTTTCTCCATTTATCATGGCCTTGCCTATTGGTTCAGTGGTGAGGATTTTGTTTTCTTGATGTTGAGATGTAATCTATAGTCCTTAACCTATATAGCAAATATTTCAAGTCTTTTTTTTTTCACTTTCTACAAGTAAGCTTGAGTCATCTTCATAATGGAAATTGTCACTGAGTGAGTTTCCCTCCAATCCTGATGCCATATTCTTCTTCATATAGTCCAACTTTTTGAAGAATTTGTTTAGTGTACAAATTGAGTAAGTATGGAGGAAGGATATAATCTTGATGTACAGCTCTCTTGATTTTAAACCATATACATTGTCCTCTTGTCCATTAAGAGAACTGCTTCTTGTTCTACAAAAAGATTTCACATCCATAACTTGTTTTGATCTACACAGTTAAATTCCTTTTCATAGTTGATAAAACACAAGTAAATATCTTTTTGGCATCCTCTGCTTGTAAACAAAGATCAATCTGACTTTAGCAGTGATTAATAACTCCTGCTCAAAAGCCTTTTTTGAATCCAATTTTAATTTCTAGTGCTTATGCTTTCATGTTATTGCTGCTTTTACAATAATTAGCGAGATTTTATTTACATGTGATTTGTTGTTTTTGTTGTTATGTGCTTTCAAGTCACCTGTGGCTCATAGTGACCCTATGTACAACAGCCATAAACCCTGCTCTATCCTGTGTCAATCTCACGGTCTCTGACACACCTACCCTCATTACTCCAGTCACTGAATCAATCCATTTCACAGAGGGTCTCATCTTATAGAATAAAGTCTTTCTCCAAGGACTGGTCCTTCTTTGCAACACACAACAACAACAACAACAACATCATCAGATTTGTATGTTTTTATATCAACTTATGTTTAAATTTGAGAGATATTTGCTGTTTCAATATGAAAGATTAATTGATGAGAATGAGTCTGGCAAGCCATATTAAGCAATTCTGGTGGTGTAGTCCATATTGAGTTACTGTGTCAACTAAAAGGCGAGCATCTCTCGTGACTTGTATCTACCAAAAGTTCCAAAGATGTAAGAAAGGCATTTTGCTTCTTTGCCATTTACAGCCTTAAAAGTAGACTTGGGCGGGGTGGGGTGAGGGTGAGAGTGGATTGTATAACAATGAAAGAACTTTTTTCCAAAGAAAAAAGTGAACTGAGAGTAAGGGCGGGCATGGAGGAACATGAGCAACAGTGAATGAATGGAAACCCAAGTTCTTTGCAAACTTTCATTAAAATCTCAGTAAAGAAAAGCTGATAAAGTTTCTATTCATTGGAAGATATTTAATTACTGTGAATTTAACACAATTGTGTGAACAGAAATGTTGGTCATTTAAGCTAACCAACTGTTCCTCCAGAGAAAAATGAGGAAGGCAATCTGCTCCAGATTGATGCCAGTAGTTTTTTATTTTGTTGTTATTGTATTTTTGTTTTGCTTTTTTTAATGCAATTGGCCTCTCGAGCTAGATTGCGTCTAGTAGAATGGTGTCTCATGCTTGATACTTGAAGGTATCTAGAATAGAATAATAATTAAATTGTATTGAAAAGTTGAAAGGGCTAACAATGTAAAAATTTTGAGTCACACGCTATGTGGAAATAGTAATATAAAAGAAAAAATAAAATTATTAAATTCTCCAATTATAAATTTGAGGGCAGAATAGATGGTAAAGGATAAGGAGACTCTATGTATTGTAGTTTAGATAAAGCAAAGATGGGAGTGTGTGGAATGTAGGTTTGCTTTCTTGCCAGTACTCTCTTGTTAGAAGTAGGATGTGAATAACACAGTGCTGTCTTTATAAGACACAGTAATGAACTCCGGTGGTCTAGATATTAAGGAGTTATGTGGTCAATCCAAAAGCATGCAATTAAAATCCACCAACTGCTCCATGGGAGAAAGATGAACAATTCCTCCTATGCCATTCATAGCCTCTGAAAACCCACTAGAAAGTCAGCTATGAGCCACTGATGACATTGCATAAAAACAAAGAAGAAGATATAGAGTAGTGTTCAATTTAAAAGTAACCTGTGCTCAAAGGAGAAGGGGATGGCAGAAATTAGCATTGCTACCAGTTCCTTTCCCAATGCAATTTGTCTCCTGATATCCTGGTTGCTGTTACCAAGAGTGTTGACTGTGGAGCCAAGCAAACCAGAACTGTTAACTATCTCAATCTCTTCACCATCCATACTGGTGCTGCCAATTGGCCCAGTGGTAAGAATCTTTGTTTTGTTGATATTGACCTTCAATCCATATTGAAGACTGCAGTCCTTGACACTCTGCAGCAAGCACTTCAGGTCCTCCTCAGTTTCAGCAAGCAGGGTTGTGTCATCTGCATAACGCAGGTTGTTGATGATTCTTCCACCAATCCTGATGCCACATTTCTCCTCATCAGCCCAGAGTCTCAGATGATCTGATCTGTTCTGCATACAGATTGAAAAGGTATGGAGACAGAATACATCCCTGGCGGACCCCCTTCTTGATTTTGAACCATGTAGTGTCTCCTTGCTCTGTTCTGATGACTACCTTTGGTCCAAGTATAGGTTTCACATTAGCACAATCAAATGTCTGGGATTCCCATTCTTCTCAGTGTCAGCCACAGCTTGTTGTGATCCACACAGTCAAAAGCCTTTGCATAGTCAATGAAGCACAGATAGACATTCTTCTGGTATTCTTTGCTTTCTGCCAAGATCCATCTTACATTAGCTATAATATCCCTAGTACCGCGACCTCTTCTAAATCCAGGCTGCACATCTGGCAGTTCTCTGTTGACATATTGTTCCAAATGTTTTTGGATAATTTTCAGCAGAATCTTGCTTGCATGTGATATCAATGATATTGTTTGATAATTTCTACACTCTGTTGGGTCACCTTTCTTTGGAATGGGAACAAATATTGATCTCTTCCAGTCAGTTGGTCAGCTTGCTGTCCTCCAGATTTCCTGACACAACCTTGTAAACACATCCAGGGCAGTGTCTGTCTGTTGAAATAAATCAATTGGTACGCAGTCAACTCCTGGAGCCTTGTTTCTTGCCAGTTCCTTCATAGCAACTTGAACTTCCTCCTTTATCACCACAGGTTCTTGCTCATATGTTATTTCATTAAATTCCTCTGTGTCAGGTCCTCTGATACAATGACTTTGTGTACTCCTTCCATCTTCTTTGTATACTGGATCATTCAACATTCTACCCAAACTATACTTAAGTATTTCCACCCATGTCTTGAATTTGTTTTTTAACTCCTTCAGTTTAAGAAACCTGAGCGAGTCCCGCCCTTTTGATTTTCTGACTCCAGCTCTCTGTACATTCATTTCATTATAGTATCTTGCTTTATCGTCCCGAGCTGCCTTTTGAAATTTTCTGTTCAGGTCTTTGATTTCTTGGTTTCTCCCTTTAGCTTTGGCTTCTTGGCGCTCTAATGCAATACTCATAGTCTCATCTGACATCCATCTTGGTCTTTTCTACTTCTTTAGCCTTTGTAATGATCTTTTGTATTCTTCATGGACAATTTTCTTGATATCCTCCCAGAGCTCATTTGGTCTATGCTCATTGGTGCTCAAGGTCTCAAACCTGTTCCTGAGATGGTTTTGAAATTCGAGTGGACAGACTTAAGGTCAAATCTTGGTTCCCGTGGACTTGATTTAATTTTCCTCAACTTCAGCTTGAATTTACATATGAGTAGTTGGTGGTCTGTTCCACAATCAGCACCCTGCCTGGTTTTCACTGCTGATGTTGAGCCTCTCCAATGAATCTTTCCACAAATGTAATCTATTTGATTCCTATGCATACCATCAGATGAAATCCATGTGTATAGCCTGCATTTATGTTTCTTATAAAAGGTATTTGCAATGAATAAATCATTGAATGTGCAAAACTCTATCATTCTATCTCCAACCACATTTCTCTCACAGAGCCCATGTTTTCCAGCTACTGATCCTTCTTCCCTGTCCCCAACTTTTGCATTCCAGTCTCCCATTATTATTAATGCATCTTGATTGCATGTTTGATCAACTTCTGACTGCAAAAGTTGGTAAAAATCTTCCATTTCCTCTTCTTTGGCTCTGGTTGTTGGTGCATATATTTAAATGATAGTGTATTCACTGGACTTCCTTGTATGCCAGAAATCAGGAGACGATTGCATTGGGAAAGTCAATTGTGAGGGACCTCTCAAGAGTACTGAAGTGCAATGACATCAGGCTGGAGACTAAGGTGTGCCTGATCCAAGCTATAGTCTTTGCAATTACGTGCTATGCATCAGAGAGTTGCGCAGTGAATAGGGATGATAGGAAAAGAATTAATGTCTTTGAGTTGTGGTGCTGGAGAAGGGTGTTGAATACACCATGGACTGCTAGGAAAACAAACAGGTTTGTCCTGGAGAGGGTGAAGCCAGAATGTTTCCTGGAGTCAAGGATTTTGAAGCTTCATCTGACATACTTTGGGCATGTTGCAAGGAGGGACTGGTCCTTGGAGAAGGACATCATGTTTGGGAGAGTAGAGGGACGGTACAGGAGAAGAAGACCCTCGAAGAGATGGACTGATTCTGTGAGTGGAGTGGGAGGAATGAATGTGTTTGAGACAGTGAGGTTGGCACAGGATAGAATGGTGTTTAGGGCTCTTCTACATAGGGTCGCTATGAGTCAGTCACAAATGACTCTATGGCACATAACAACAACAACAATACTGCCTTCTTTTCTGAATGTCCAACCAGAGTATTCTTTATAGGCTAGAGTTGTTTTGGGCATTTTCTCAGGGGACATCAGTCCTTGGAGAGAGAAAAGTGCTGGGCCAAATAAAGAAAGGAAGACCCTCCACAAGTTGGATGATTGACACAGTGACCACCACAATGGACTTGAACATAACAGAACAGTGAGGATAGTGAAGGATAAAGTAAGGTTCAGATCTGTTGTGCACTGGGTTGTTAGGAGAAACAGCTGACTCAAACCCAAGAACAACAAAATTTTGAGTACTCAACAACTTACTTATTTTTGGAGAAAACTGTGCCATCTTCCCACATCCAGACTCCATTTAAATTCTGGCGGGATAATCCAATCCATCGAATTAGACTAGTCCTGTGTTTGAGATATTTCTATCATAAATACAAATTAATATAATAGTTAGGATGCCTTCAAAGCTTTTGTGAAAATCAAATTGACTACATCTGTGGAAAGAGATGGTCATCGGTGACCCTGCTTCTAGTTGAAATATTGGTGGCATAGCTTTCAAAGTGTCACAACAACGTTTGAAATACCAATGGCATTACTTCCAGAGTCATATCAATACAGAAGCCACCACAGAATGAAAAACTGACCGCCAATTGGTAGAACATGGATGCATCATTTTATATTTTCAAATCATATTTGTTTCCATACTTTCAATTTTTGTTTCTGAACAAGTAAAAATGGGCAAGGGAACTGAGAGAAGTTAAATTATTTGCTGCAAAGACAAAAACTCAAGATTTCTTGTATTTCATCTCTCAAATTCTGTCAGTTTTTACTGAGCTTGATAATATTTTTAGACTGTTGTTTTTAGGACAAACTGAAAGACATAGGAAAAATAGGGGGGGGGAAGGAAATGTAAAATGGTACATTTGTGATTTTCTCCAAAACATATGGTTGTAAGGACCTCCTTACCAGAATATTCTTGCTGGTGATCTTCAGAAGAGTTGCATTCCTTTCCCTGCAGTACTGCTTGCCCTCTTCCCAAGTTAAGTTCTGCTTAAAGAATCCATAGCAACAATTTCCATAGTATCTCCAATTTTTCTCACAGGGGCTGCATTTATGGCCTTAGGAGAGATCAAAGATGGAACACTTTACATTCTATGCTAATCTTACACTTTTATTGTTTTCTTCAGCTCTCAAGGTTCCTTAAAATACCATCACAAAAAAGATAAACACAAACCAAACCAACCCCTGAAGTTAGAGGATGTCTAGAGTTTACCAAACCACACTTACCAAAAACACCTTGCTTTATTTCTTCAGAGAGTTGTATTAATTCTTGGCAAATGCGATTTGCTGACTGTTGTAGAGATTCTGTGGGAGTTTCATTCTCAACTTGTGAGAGATTTTGCTGCCTGACAGCTAAATGTAAAGATGAGGAAAAGACAATATACAATAGGGTTTGATTGGACCTTCTAATTAATTATATGACTACATTTTAATTAATGTTCCAAAACAAACTATCCATTAATAATAAGAAAGAAAAGAAAGAACAATTGGGAGAAAAAAAGTAGGCCTAGTGGGTGGCAAGAAGCTGCATTGCAACCCAAAGGTATGTGGTTGAAGGCCATTAGCTGCTCCAGGGAGGACAGGCAATCTCTTGCTGTGCCTCTGAAGACCTGTATGAGAGTCAACAGTGGGCCGGTTCTGACTCTACTGTACTCAACAACAACAACAATCAGTCTTAAGCATGTTGTGAAGATATTATCAATGTATTTTCATATTGATAGAATCGTTACTCTGAATATTTGTTGGTACAGGAATAAATGATTCTTGCAAAGGGATAAAGGCAAAGAGAATATTTCAAAAATATTAAAGAACAAAGAAAAATTAGTACTAAGGAATTATCTAATAGGGTAAGCGAACTATTTGAGGGGAAATAACCACAAGACATTTCCAAGATCAAATAACACACTTAAAAAGTAACTTTTGATGTTTTGTTGAGTGTAACTTTCTAACAGTGTTAACAGAAATGAATACCTTTGATATTTTCTGTTCTTAAAGACATAAAAAATACACACTAATTAAAAAATACATTTTGATTTCATTCTATGTTCAAATTGGTGTAACAGTCTACGAATGAAAGATCCTTAATTATATTATGCAAAAATAAAATAGTATACAAAAAACCAAAAACTCTACTGTAAAGTGATATTGAACGTCCATGAGCCTAATGAAAAAGAAAAAACAAAACCCAAAACCATTCAAACTCAAACTACTCATACAACATTTATTAATAAGGTGTAATATGAATTGCTTCTAATAGGAAATAAATCACTTAATCACAAAGTCACTTAAAAAGTTATTTTGATCAGGAGGGAAAAAACCCCAGAAAAATCTAGAAAGCTACTAGATGATTTTAACAAATATAAGGATAATTGGGAAACTCAGTGATACAAAAATTCTTGTGAGCATTCCTTTCCTCAGACTAAAAACTCTTGTAAATGAGTCAATACTTACACATTATCCCCAGAAATAGGAGTCCAATAACCATTCCTATGCACAAGATCAGAAGAACCAGAGCCACCACACGCCACAAAGAGGAGGATGCATAACCAACTGTGGACATACAATAAACATGTCAGGGTTCATAACTATGACATGGCTATGAGGCAGTGTCAGTTCTGTCCCTGCCTCTCAGGATTTTCCAAGTAATAAAAATAGTTTCACTAGCAGATCCATCATTGATCAACAGTAAGCACAATTCATTCCCATGTTACACATCCAGACCCATACCAATAGACTGACCCCTCTGACTGAAAATATAACCAGCTGTTAAGTCATGTATATGTGTTTATTATTATTATTATATATTCATTTCTTCTACCACATAAATCTGACTTAAATAAGCAACTCCTAGAGAATTACATCCACTTACCAGGATATTGAAAAATGGTTTTCAAACATCTTTTCCTCTGTCACTTCTAAACCCTTGACTTCAATGTTAACTGGAATTAAATAAAATCTGCATGCCTTAATATCATGGTCCCTGTTTATTTCCTATGTGATTTTTCTCCCAAGTTAGTCTGAGTCTGTGGAAGGATAGTGGAGAAAGGCTATTTGCTACCCTAAGTAGAAAAAAGGGATAGTACAGTTGACTTATTTTACCAGTTTTTCAATTGCTAGCTCTGTGTATTCTTACCTGGGGCAGGGGGCGGCTTTCGAGTTTTAACATTTAAGGTCACATATCCGTCTTCATCCTGCATGGTTTTGCTTTGACTGCCAGTGGGCCCAGGAATCCAATGACTTAGCAAAATGAAGGGTCCACACTTGAAATTACAATATCCATCATTCTGTGATCCTCTTCAACTGGTAGGGTGGAGCCCTACGAGTTGAGACATGTACTTTGTTTCTTTCCCAGGAAGCTCTCTAAAAGCCCTTTTCAGACATACGTGGACCTTGACCACTTAAAAAAAATTGAAAAGCAAAAAATAATAACTTGCGGTAAAGCAGTAGATAGGGCATTGGTTTCCTGCTTCCTTATCTTCATGTTGAAATAGATATTCCAGCGTATATATCTTTCCAGAGGAAAAAGAAAAAAGAACTAAGTCCTTACTTCATCTTAGCACTACTGGAGTCTAACTTACAATATTCTAAAAGACCATATTTCTGTGAAGTGCATGGTGAATACTCCAACAGATGTCTAGCTTACTCTATTGTGAGAGAGTTATTATAATTTTATTTAATACTGCCCAAATTAGTGGTTTCATGGTCTTATATTGGAAGGAACTATTTATAATTATGTCAAGGAATTCATTCTAATTCTTACTTTTCTAAGAAAGAAATTTTTCAAAAATTGTAAGACTATTTGGAGCAAGTTTTATGCTATCAAGTTTAGGCATTGGAGGAATACAAATAAAGGCATTGTACAGAGCTAATAACTTTTCATATAGTCCTTTGTATTTTTCCTTTAAAGAGAATTTCTGGGACAGAAAAAAAAAGTTCCATTTTAATGGAATCACGCAATTTCAAACACATTATGCCGGGAAGAACTTGTTATCAGTGTTATTGGTGGAAACTTCCTTATACAGACAATGTAGTCTTTTTTGCTGAAAGTGAAGAGGACTTGAAATACTTGTAAAAAAAGATCAGTGCAACAATGAATGGATGAAAAGCTAACTTTTCTGTAAACTTTCATTAAATCACAATTAAAATAAAAAATTGTATTAAAAAAGATCAAAGATGATAGCCTGTAGTATAGATTCATCTAAACATGAAGAAAATAAAAATCTCTTGCCTACTAGGCCACCAGATCTCCCATCTGAGTACCTACTAGGTATCTATTTTATTTTTTATTTCATTTTCTTATTATCCAGATTGGATGAGTATACATTTCAAAATGCGTTTTGACTCACAATCATCCTCTGGCTCCTCCTTGTGGCCAATTTCCCCCCCCCCCCTTATTTCTGTTTCCCTTTCTCCTTTCCAGAAAGATGTAGTAGTCTATTTCCATAAAAACTGACACTCTTAGAAATCCTGGAGGTCAGTGTTACTCCGCTTTATAGGATTAGGAGGATCAGGTTTGACTCAAAGGAAGGGGTGGGTTTGATGAGCAATTTTTTAATTGTTTGTTTTCTTTGGCTCATTAATACCACTGGATTGAATATCTAATCCTATCTCTTACATAAATTACTTTGAATTAATTACTATATTGGCTATTTTCTAGGTTCTGTGTACCAAGAAGAACTCATTGACACTGAAACATTTAATGAAGTAGCATGTGATAAAAAAAACAAACAAAAACTGAAAACATGGATGCACTTGGGCCCATTGCTACAGTCACTGTGCCAATCCACTTGGCTGAGGGTCTTCCTCTTTTGTCATCCCTCCACCTTCTCAAGCATGATGTCCTTTTCCAAGGAATGGCCTCTTAGCACATGCCAAAAGTATGTGAGACAAAGCTAAACATAACATAAATGTTATGTTCTTAGTTTCCTTTAATGTGTTTTCTTTGTTACTGTAGAGAAATTCAACAGATTTTTGTATGTTGATCTTATATTCTGCCAGTACTAAATTGATCTACTAGGTCTAACAGTTTTTTGGTTGAGCCTTTTAGATTTTCTGTATACACTGTCATATCATCTGCATATAGTGACAGTTTTGCTATCTCTTTGCCATTTGGATGCTTTTTGACCTCGCTAGAACTTCCAATACAATAAGGAATAGTAGTGGAGATAGTGGGCATTCTTGTCTGATCTGTTCACAAGGGACTGCCTTTAGACTCTCTCTAGTAAGAATAATGTTGGCTCCTGGTTTTGCATATACACTTTTCATTATTTCAAGGAAATTCCCCTCTATTTAGATTTAGCTTCCATACAGGTGTGCTTTTTAAATTTATCCTCTTGTTAATTTCTAACTTTGGGGCACTGTGATCTGAAAAGATACTTTTATTTCAATGTTTTTTAATTAGCTGAGTCTTGCTTTGTGTTCTAATATGTAGTCAGTCCTGGAGACTGCATTAAGTGGCTTGAAAAGAAAGTAAATTGAGTTTTTGTTAAGTACCCCAAGCATGTCTTTGAGGTTAAGTTGGCTAATAGTGTAGCTTAATTCTTCTACATCTTCGTTGAGTTTCTTTTGTGTTGACCTATCTTTTGGTGAGATAGACTGAAATCTACTACAACTATTGTGATATTGTTTGCCTCTTTTCTCAACTCTGTTAACCATAGTTTTATGTATTGTGCATGCCTATCACTTCATGTGTATATATTAACAAAAATGATGTGCTTTTATTCTGTTGTGCCTTTAATCATTATAGAGTATCCTTCCTTGTTTCTTATCGGTGGTGTTCACCCTAAGTTTGTTTTATTGGAGACCGGTATTGCTACTTCAGTTTTTTGTAGAGCAAGGAAACACTGCATGGTTTAAAATTTGGAAAGGCATATGCCAGGGATGTGTCCTGTCTCCATATCTTTTCAACCTGTATGCAGAACAGATTATCTGGGAGGCTGAGCTCTATGAGGAGAAGTGTGGCGTCAGGATTGGTGGAAGATCTATCAACAATCTGCGCTATGCAGATGACACAACCCTGCTTGCTGAAACTGAGGAGGACCTAAAATGCTTGCAGCAGAGCGTCAAGGACTGCAGCCTTCAGTATGGATTGAAGCTCAATATCAAGAAGACAAAAATTCTCACCACTGGATCAATTGGCAGCATCAGGATGGATGGTAAAGACATTGAGATTGTTAACAACTTTAGTCTGCTTAGCTCCATAGTCAACACTCTTGGCACCAGCAGCCAGGAAATCAAAAAACGTATTGCGATGGGAAAGTCTGCTGTTAGGGACCTCTCCAGGGTACTGAAGAGCAATGGTGTCACTCTGGAGACTAAGGTGCGTCTGATACAGGCTATCGTCTTTGCAATCACTTGTTATGCATCAGAGAGTTGGACAATGACTAAGGAGGATAGAAGGAGAATTGATGCCTTTGAGCTGTGCTACTGGATAAGAGTATTGAATGTACCATGGACTGCCAAGAAAACAAACAGATTCAGCTTGGAGAGGGTTAAACCAGGCTGCTCCTTGGCAGCAAGGATTCTATGGCTTCATCTGACATATTTTGGACATATTGTAAGGAGGGAGTTGTCCTTAGAAAGGGAAGTCATGCTTGGGAGTGTAGAGGGATGGCGCAGAAGGGGAAACCCTCTATGAGGTGGATTGATTCAGTGACTGGGGTAATTGGGATAGATGTGTCAGAGGCAGTGCGATTGGCAGAGAATAGAGCGGGGTTTAGCGCTGTTGTACACAGGTTTGCTATGAGTTGCAAGCAACTCGACAGCACATAACAACAACAACAGTATTTACTTGGTTTATTTTTTTACTCACTTTGATTTTTAAGCTAATTTTTTCCCCTTATTTCTTAGATTTGTCTCTTGGAGGAAACACATTTATGGGCTTCTTTTTTAAAAAAAACAATCAAATAACAACAACAAAAAAACCAAAACACCAAATCAAACCTATTCTACTACTCTTTTTCTCTTAATTAGTATGTTTAGTCCATTCCCATTGAGTGTGATTGTTGACTGTCCAGTTTTTATGGTTGCCATTTTGCTGTGTACATTTTCCTGTTGTTGCTGGTTACTTTGGTCCACCCACTTTCCTTTGAAGCTTCTGTGTGAAGGACTTCCTTTGGTAATTCTTACAGAATTGTTCACAAATTCCTTAAGTTTCTGCTTTTCTTGATGATACTTTGTTTCTCCTTCTTATTTGGTGGACAGCTTTGTAGGGTACAGGATTCCTGGCTAACAATTGTTTTCTTTCAGCTTTTCATATATGCCATCCCATTGTTTTCTTGCTTACATGTTTTCTTCTAACACATCAGATATTATTTTTTTTTCTCCTGTGTAGGTGACTTTTTATTTTTCTTATGCTGTTTTCTAGTATTCTCTCCTTATGCTGTTTTCTAATATTCTATCTTTTTTTTATTATGATATGTCTTGATGTTTATCTTTTGGTGTCTGGTCTGTTTAATGTTTGCTAAGCTTCTTGAATGTGTATTTCTTCTTCTTTCATGATATCTGGAAATTCTTTTAGTGTCTCTTCCATAATTTTCTCAGTGATCTTTTCTGTTTCATTTCCTCCTTTTCTGGAATGCTGAAATAGGTATTGTTACAGTTTATATCATTCCTCATGATTCTTACATTTTCTTTGATATCTCTCTCCAGTAGATTCTTATTGTGATTTTGGTCTTCTATTTCACTGATTTTGAGTTCTATATCATCTATCCTGCTTTTTTGTCCTTCTAACATGGTGAAGATTTCTTAAACCCTGGTCTTATACCAATTTGTGTTTTCATATTTTCTTATCATTTCTATAACTGTGAGGGGTTTATGTACTCTATTTTTTATTGATTCTTAGAGTTCTTGTATATCTTTACTAATGGTTTTATTTCTCTCTTCTATCATTTGTAACTTCTTCAGCATCAATTCTTGTAATTCCATAAATGTGTAGTCTCTCTGCCTTTCTAATTCTCAAATACCCACTAGGTTTTCACTTTGGTCTGATTATTTTAAAGGCTGTGTTGATTTTTCATAGTATTTGAATCTGACTGCTGTTTCCTTGATATTACGTGGGTATCTTCTTCATCTATATGAGGTAGCATCTGTAGTTTTAGTGTGAGTATTTCCCAGTTCCTTATTGTTATAATATGAATTTCCTGAGTTCAATATTCTCAATGTCTCAGAAGTTGTATCAACAGTGACCTAATGGCTT